AACAAATAAACAAGTGACTGTATGCAAGTCTATGACAAGAGAGAATTAAAACTATTTAAAGGAAAAAAATTAAGTCTTGTACCTCTTTCAACGAAATCTTAGAAACTAAATTGTGTCTAGGTCTAACAGACAGGTTTCAAATTATGGAATAGTCTTCCCTGAAACTAAAAGGAGTTGAGTTGTCATGATCTAACACAGATAACTCAAGAACACTGTAACTTTTGAATTTGTTCACTGCCTGAATTACTTAATCGACAATGCAACTTTTAAATTATCAAAGTGTAGTGAAAGGATTTATTTCCAGCATGTTGAGATAGTGAGTAATAATAAAAACATGAAGAAAAAACTTACGATCGGAGCAGATGCCACCAACAGCATAACTTCTAGCAGTTGCAATGTATGCCAACCCTAGGACACCGTTACTGAAATCTTGATATGTAAAGAGATGAGCAAGACACACATCTGAATAGTCGTGTACACTGAATACCTGTAAACACAATAGATTACAAAAGGATAATCCTAATTTTCCCTTTTTGAATCATTCTGATAAATTTATTTACATTATGACAAAATGCCACCTTAATCTTGGTGTGTTTATAATACAAACAGAGGTGTATTAACTAATAATAGTAAACCACTTGATTCTGTACTATTCAGTAATTTAACACTAGTTTGTCCGTTGCTCTTAATTTGTTATTTTTACTTTTTTTTTACTTTTATGTTCTTTTAAATTTTATTATCCTTTTACTTTTCTATTTTACTTGACTATGTTCATCTTCTATAGAGAGAATTATGTCAATAAAGTTATCTTATGAATAAATTTGCTCAAAACGGGAATAACCTATTTGCGTGCAATAGTTCATTGTCATGAAATTAAGCACACTTTTGAGGCATCAGAGATTAATATAAGTGCATTTGTTAAGTTGGATATCCAGCATATACAAGTCTGTTAAAATTTGTTAACTTCAAGCTTACACATAGATTTTGGTCACCATTGTTCAAGGACATTAAATTTCATACTATTTTAGAATTGTATCTGACGATCAGACAGCCATGCAGGCTTCAGCTTCTTAGCTTAGCCATTCAATTTGTTGTTTGTGTGTGCACTGTGTATTCATTTTTATTCATTCAAATAGATGTTAAATGATTAAATAAATCAAGTTTGTGAGAAAACTAACATAGAGGACAGAGGAGTATATTGACAGCTGTATGCTATTATTGGGTCTTATCTTTTTTTGATGAGCACAAATCAATGGTTATATAATTATACATATAGTGCATTTTGTACAAATTCATGTTTGGAACCACATAAGATAGCTGTGTGATATCATCCCAGTGTCTGCAATTTGTACACCATCTACACAAGTAAGTAACTGATGATGTACAGTTAATTTACCTCAAGTAAATCTGACACATCCCATGGATTGGATTTGCGTTCATTATAGTGGCGTTGATCTTTGGTTACGAATGTGGCCTCCGTATGAACCAATATCTGAAAACGAAGCATGATATAATGACAAATACATGTAGGAACTACTACTCAAGTACCGTACTGTGGCCTCCACCCCCACCCAAGAAAACAGCGATTAGTACTTGGCTCAAAATGAATGTAAAATATGGGGAAAAAAGGTATATATGCTGAATTTTATTTTCACTGATTCACCCCGACAGCGAAAATGAAGTAGTTTACAGTTGACTGAAATAAACACAAATGCAGGTGGGTCATAAAATTCATAAATTGTAGCCAGCAAGGAAATCAGAACAAATACACATATTGGACAGTTAGCTCACCTCTTTAATTTCAAAACTTAATCCTATTAAGTCACCAGCCCAATAAGTATCCTTGTAAATTGTCTTAACTCGATTTACCAGACTTATCTGCAAAAATAAAACACAAAATAAATAATCCACAGTTGATAACAAACACTACAACACTTCAGCACTTTTTTTCATTTGCACATACTACCAGAATATTGAGAAGTTCTTGGTTTCTATACGCTTTAATAACTACCGTACAAAATAAGGTGAACAATATTGGCAAGTTGATGTGTTTATTTTCTTGAGTTCAATTATTAAAAAAAAAATGATTTAAATTAAAAAATTTCCTAATTGAATTGAGCCAAATGTCATAAATGAAGAGAAAACAAGCTGAACAATTTTCTTGGACTAATAACAAAAGCTGGTCAATCCTTTCCCAGCAAAAATGCTGAAGAATTGATAAATTATAATATGATATTAATTTCTCTTAATTTGACATCAGCAGACACTGATAGTTAAGATTTTAGTAACCTACAACTGAAATTATAATTCTGGTCACTATCACTTATCTGCTGGCATCAAACTAAGTGGATATTGTGGGATTATATATAGATTAAATTCTCTAATCTATTTATAGAAAGAAACACTAACCATATAATTGACAGTATTTTCTTCCTCACCGCGGCCCATTGTTTCAAAAAATCTATAATCAGCTACCAACAACAGTTGACAAATATTTTTGCTTGGGATTCTTCTTTTTGACCTACTGTGTTTCTTTTGATCTGTTGAAGTGAACATAGTTGATGTGAGGCCTATCTGAACTGAGCACCACACTACCAGGGTAATGGTAAAAACTGCAAGACCATGAGATTTATTTTCAAATTCAATTTTTATTCAGTCTCAGTTATGTATGATTTTTCTCTTTTCTTAAACCTCTTTTGTTTGCTCTTGTCGCCGTTCCGAAGGCTTATTAAATATTATCATTATTATTATAGAAAGAGTGAGAAGCGAACACTTTCTCTCAGTTTCAGGAAAAATGATTGATATTATTCAATAAAATTTGTTGGTGAAATTTAAAATTCTCATCATCTCATTGGCAAGAATCAAAACACTCACCAATTAAATTCTCATCATTTTTTCTACAAATTCTCACCGATACATACATACCAAGTATCAAAGCACATGATGTATACCTGTGACATTGGAATAAGCATTGGGAGAATATTTCCAAGATTGTCTGTAATTCTCCAAATCTTGCTGTAGCTCTTTTGGTAAATGGTGACCATGACCACAAAAGCTAGAATAAAACAAATTAAACAGTTTTAAACCAGAGTTAACCCTTTTCTGTGTCTGTGATATACAATGTACTGTATATTACCTGGGTTTTCCTTTCACTTATTACACCGATAGCAAAATTGAAACCCAGGGAAAAATATGAAAATTATGAAAGTTAACAAAATAGTCTATTGTTTTCCAGACAAACCAGTGAATTTAATTAAACCTAGTTAATATTCCTGCAACACCAAATCTGCTAAAATCAAACAATGAATATTTCTCACTATAAAATATAGCATGGATAAAAATGAAAACAAAAGGCAGTAACACACTTCATGTAGCTTGATTGTTGATGCTTCACATGCATGCAATGGGGTACTCTCCAAGTCTCAACCGATTACTGCTTTTGGTGGCGTAAGTTGAGAAGAATTATTGCCAAAGACAACATTTTACACCTCAATCAGAGGGAGAACACATTTTCTCAAATACGCTGGCTATACAACTTGTTGATTTGCATTTCATTTATGTATGTACAAAAACATTTTTTCAAGCTGAAATACAGCTAGTGTGACAAATAATCATGAAAACATTGCGAAATATGAAATGTAGATCTGCTCTTGAATACAATATTGTGAAGGTAGTACATTCATCGTAAAAAATTCATGAATGTGATTAGCAATGTAAATCTATCTAAATGATCAGAATTATTTTCTGAATGAGGGAGGTCATAATGTTCATCTTTCTACTATTTTTGAGTATCACTCACCATACTCATGCATTAATACAAGAATGTTTGAATATTTAAATTCACCTGTGGCAGAGACTGAATCGACATTTTTAGTTGATTCTTGGAGAACAAGTCATTGTCAATGACACGTCCCGTTTCGTTCATATTTGAGTGACATATACATTCAAAGCAGATCATGACCGAAAAGCACCTGCATATGTACAACACATTGTTCTAAATCTGAACAAAATCCATCCATGCATGACTGAGATCAGGTTCCGGAATTGTGAAAATACGTGATTTTGATGCATTTTCGGCCTTAAAATGGCCATCATTCAGCAGCTATTGTTAATGAGATCATGAAACAAATGCACATACATATTTGTGACATGATGTACCTTGTGTGTGTGAAGTTTGAACTCGATCAATCCAAGCATGTCTCAGATACGGATCCAGAACTGAATTCTTTAAAACAAAATGGCCGCCAGTCGGCCATTTCAAACCCGATCCCCCCCCAAAAAAGACGTGCATCAAGGTCATATTATGTTTAATGTATGTACCAAATTTGAACAAAATCCGTCCATGCATAACTGAGATCCGGGTTCGGAATGGTGAAAATGTGTGATTTTGATGCATTTTCGGCCTTAAAATGGCCGCTATTCGGTTATGGTTAATCGGATCATGAAGAAAATGCATGTGCATATGTCCCATATAATGTGTGATGTATGAGTGAAGTTTGAACTTAATCGGTCCATGCATGTTCGAGATACAGGTGATCACGGACGCACGCACGGATGCACACAGGGCAAAACATAAGTCCCCGTTTTCGGACTACGTCCGAACGGGGACTAATAACAATGAGTCCTGAGCTGCACAGAATAACAACAGATGAAGGTTGTATTTGGCTGACAGAAAATGAGGGCAATTTGGTAAATAATGGTCTTACCTTGATTGTCCATCTTTAGTAAAATTATACTTCATGTCTGAACCTTTGTATGCAATCATATGAAAGTCATGTGGTTCTGGTACATGCCTCCAGGATGGCTGTGAAATAAATTTATAATCGTCACAAGTATATACCGGTAGATATAATATGCAAGACTTCTGTCAACTAAACTTGCATTGCAGCATGATCTAAACTGATCATTTTCAATGAAAATGATTTTCAAATAATGAAACTGTCTGTAAACTGTATGTCCTTTTTATACAAATGTGCTAATAGCATATACGACTCAGCTAGTATTTTATCAAAGTTGAATTTTTAGGTCCCAAATTGTACATTACGTTTTACCCCTGTGTTTCGTCTACCGCACTGTCGCATGAATATAATTAAATGCGAGGTGCATGAACAATTTCAATAATTTATTGCGGACTGATATTTTTAGCGGTTTCATATCTAAGGTACATCAGTTAATAATTTATTTTTGAAAGTTAACTTTCCAAGTAAATAAATAAATTAAAGCCAATATAACACATGACCCAGGAGATTTGTTGTGATGCAATCATTTATGTTCTTAGGCGTCATTGACTTACATGTAATAGAAAATCATACATTGAAAAAGTTATCTTGAAAAATATCTTACTATAGCCACATATACAGTGTTGATTTTTTCTTTAATACTTTCCCAGCAGTTAACAAGCAGACCTGACTTGATATTTGGAACCCAATTACTTACACAATCAGTCTTATTAGAGGGTCCACTGAACATTAAATTACTCACCTCAATAATGTAAACATCATCTGGTGTTTTTATCGAAGCTGTTAAACCATCTTTCTCAATCATTACTTTGGCATAGGAGTTTTGTTCATCTGAAACAAAAAAGAAACATGCATTGATTGTGTATTGTGTTGGTAATATTCAGTAAATTAAAATATACTGAAATATACAAGTATCTGCATACCTCAGGCTATCAAACTTGTCTTAATATTCATCAGCATGTATCACTAATTTAATCAGACCTTGTTATAAAATATCATCTGAGTTACTGAACCATAAATCAGTGGTTTGGGCAAGATGAGCGCCATCTTGACAGAGACATAATATGTACATTTACTGTAAAACCATTTTTTTTCACTCACATTAAATTTCACTATTTTGATGCTTTCAGCAATTTTACTCGGTTCTAAGTCACAAACTCCACAGGGAAACAACAGACACAAATATCAGGAAAAAAAAAAAAAATTATCCATTTAATCAGGTCCACCTCAAAAAAAAAAAATGTAGTCTGGGTCATCCTCTTCTGTGTAAAATGTTCTATTGTTGTTATCTACATGGATTTAATTTAATTGAAATTTTACTTATAGGAGATTACAGTAACTTTTATCCAAAATGCAAAGAAAGTATTAAAAAGAAAGAAAGAGGTTTGAAAAATCACATGTTCCAGGGAGATCTATAGCTCCAGGTTCTCTTCCAGAGCATCATAGAATGGAGACACCCATATTGTAATTAAAATATGCATGTGTTATAAAAAAATAGCCATAACACTATGCTGTTTTTCTGGAATGACACTGCAGCTGTTTAGAACTACCCAGTAATAATGTATACTGCTGTGGGGCTAACACCTATAAAACTGGCTAACCACTGATTGACATCTGTAAATGTACTTACCAGTTGTATAACCATGATAAAGTAAATCTTCTTTGACGATATGCTCATCTTTACGACCATCCCCTTTTACTGAATACGCCTTAAAGTCAGAAGATAAAATGCCTTTTGTTGGAAATAGGTGTAGATTGAAGTCTCTCCCAAGCACTGAGAAAGAAATTTGTTTTACATCTCGGAGAGCAGTATCAGCATCTCTTCTGACCATTTGGTGTGTGACCTGACTAAGATGAAGAGTTTCGAAATAATGCAATGCATCATGCAAGGAACCTGATGATAAACACAGGAAAGAAAAAAGATATTAGAGAGAAAAATTTGTAAATTCTATTCATTGAATACTAAAAATTTGTTACCAGCAGTTTTCAAAACTAAGGCAGACCCCTGGGTCTTGATTGTAAGGCTTAGAACTTTACAGTTCAAGTGGTTACAATTAAAGCAGCAAACACCAGTTCACAGTTAAAATTTACCAGGGAATCACAGAAGACCTCATGAATGCCCTTACATCATCAAATTAGCAGATATTTGAATGAGACACATTTTGACAACCTTATAATAGGTCATGCAAGACTAATGCTGGCAGTAAGTCCTAAAACATGCCTGGCCAAATCAGACATTTGCCTACGTTTGTCTGCTGACACTGTTTTTCCCATACATTTTGGCTATCTGTGGTAGAATTCAGCAGGCAATGTTCTAACCCCAAATCTCCCAGATGTAAACATCTTGTGTGAACATACACAAGATACAAAATGTGTTTAGTATCAAAATGGATAAAACAATATCTCTGTAATTTAATTCCCATACAACTACATTGTATGTGTTTATGCAAAATAAACTTAAGGGGAAATCCAGGCTAACAACACAATGCTCCCAGATGAAAGTGTTCCACAAATGCAGGGGAACGCAATAGGTGATTTTCCGTACAACTGCGAGATCTCGCGAGATGCATGAAAGACGCGCGTCGAACGTCTGCCGCAAAAATCAAACGATTTGATTTTGAACTCAAATTTCTTTATTTTGTAGCGCACATCGACCAGCCGATCTTTGACAGAGGAATATTGCATTCGAATATCCTCACTTAATCGAAATTGCCCATCATCAAATGTGTACAGCACATTATTGACATGGAAATGTTTCCCAAAATACTTTCGCGTTTGTCGAATCTCACGCGATGTTTGACGCCACTACGACGCTATGACCTTTGTTTGTCCTGTTTTTACGTTCGATTTCACGCATAACGCGTGATTCTCGCAGTGTACGGAAAATGGTCTATTTTCATTCTTCAGATGTTACTTTTCATTCTCAAGATTACATAATCCACTATCATTATTATTCAGCAAAGAATTATGGGTAAAGTATGAAATCATCAAAATTTGAACTTGTTTGTATCAGTATTTTTCAATTCATGGATAAATCATTTGAGGAGCTCTTTCATCTGGAAATATGCTGACAACCTTGACTTTCACTTTAATGACTGAAGTAGTGTGATGAAAAACATCAAGAATACAAGACTCTTGCTTGACGCAAGCCTGATTTTTAACTAGGCTGCTGGGCATATGCTGTGGTGTTGTCAAAACTATAGCTAACAGATCAAGAATATTCAAGGAAACCTAAAACTAAGGCTAAAAGTCCAAGACTGGGGACAACAGACCAAGGCCAATCCAAGGGTAGTACCTGGACTGTGGGTATCACCTGAAGTGACAAAACAGTGGTAGGTTGAGGGCATGATTTAGACTCATCAGAGTAATAGACTATTCATTTTACCAATTGAGATGGTAATAAATTATTTAGAATGTAATTGGTAGACGAAAATGAGGTTATACAGAATAGAATGAGTGATAAGTGGGATAAAAAAGGGGGATTGATGCCAAATATCCTTGATCTTGTGACATAAAAGACCATGTAAATTGTGTGCTAATCGGTACATTTTGGACATGTAACAGACGAATGTTGGAGCAGCTGATGCAGTTGCTACTTGTGTATTGGGTGAAAGTGGATACTGTTGGTGTGACTTACTGTCAGTCGGCCTCCTTGTATGTGATTTTGTTTCTTAAAATATGTTACAATTTAACAGTTTTGCTGTTATGTGCAGATGTGAAACAAGAAAACGGTGACACACACACACACACAAAACGGTTACCAAAAAGTTAGATCACTTCAGTGTGTCCCTCAACTCTTTTGTTTAAATTACTATACAAGTTTAATATAAATATAATATTACAGTCACGCATTGAATATTCTGTATATATTATACTACAGTCTATATGTATACCAGACTTAATTTCCCCATGTAATTTGTCAGGTATGTAAATTGTTTAACATGTATACAAGTAAATTTGTTCCTTAGTTCAACAACAGGCACTCGAAACGTTTTTTGGATAATAAAAAATGACCTAAAGTGGGATCGGCATTGTTAGTCAGTCGCCGGTACATTCGCCTACCACTCATATAATAACACAAGGTAGAAAAGCGTTGACACCATGACATCGCAATTTCCCGAAAATAATGCTATTTTCGAAATTATATTTCGATCCCCTTCACACAACTCAAGCATGATATCGATAGAAACTATCGATCGAGTTATATTACTTTATTCGAACTAAAACGGGTTAAATCCTGTGAAAATCGAAACACCATGGCAAAAGGACAAAACACTCTACGCATACTCTCAAAATTTAAATATTGTAATGCTGTATGT